TTGTCTGCAGCTTCTTGGAAATTGTTGTCTTCTCCCTTTGTCTAGTTTCACACTCAATGCTTATAAGAGACAAGGGCCCTTTATTTTGAAAAACTCACTGCAAAATATCCCTGAAAGCTTGTGAGCTTCATAAATGCTGATGCTAGCAGTCACATTGCCTGAGTTATTAGTGCCAAATAAATCAGGGCCAAGATGTAGGATCACACACCGCCTTGCAACTGCCTCGCACCGTTTTGTTGTCAGCACTGCCCCTGCCACGGCTTTGCCTGTGCCAACCAGTGCTCTCCAAGATAACAACCTGGCACCACTTGGGAAAGAGCACAGGGCAGCAACAATTCCCACTGGGCAACATGGACACGACTGCACTGGCTGAGGCTGTAGGGAGTGTCCTTCAGCAGCATTCCAGCAGGCTTTGCACCCAGGCTGGGCAAAGCACATCCTTTTTCACTGGGAGTACAGCTGTAACACAGTGTGTCGGGCACTTTGAGCTGAATAAAAGAGACACAGAACTTTATCTGTGTTTTACACTGCAGAGGCTCTGTGGGAGACCAAGGAGACCAGCAAGTCTGCAGATGCAGCCAGTCCTTGCCATTTTACTAGAGAGCCAGAGAATGGCCCCTGGTTTTATTTACAGGAAAAACATTTTTTCTCAAAAGCTGAATTGTGCTTCCATATCTTGGAACTGGGACACTTGTAGTTGGCAGTAGACAGTTGACCTCTTCCTGGGTCACAGGAAAGTCTGAGGCTTGCAACTTCTGAGGAAGGCACAAAAGATGTGGCCAGAGGCTCCTTCTGGCTTCCTGGAAGACAGTGGACCCCATTAGGTCATCTGCTGTCTATATGCAGTTGGCACCTTAGAGAGCTGCCAGCTAGAGAGGTGTTAGTAGCAGCCAAGTCCTGTTCTTCTTTTCATCCAGCAGTGGCAAGGAAGACACTGCAAGGGTCTTCAAAACCCTAAAGAAAGCTGCTGGAAAAGGAAACTAGCCAGCCTTGAGATTCAGAAAAGCCTACTGGAGTTGCAGGGGCGTTAGATAACCAAACCAAAAATTCAAAATATAACACCACTATTATCCCCTTTTCTTTCCAAAAATGCTACCTCTTCTTTCCAGCTTCTGGTCCAACATGGTGAAAGATCTCAAACAACCCCACCTCTTTCTTAGTTATATTAATGTATTTGGTAAAAAGGACAGGCCATAATTCCTAGGCACCTGCATTCAGATAGGCTTGTTTTGCACTCCCCTGATAGGTGTGATTGGCAGGGGAAGAAGTCAGATTTAGCTAGAGCTTCTTTCTAAAAATAGTTAATCAATTTCAGTTCAAGGCTCTCGGGTTATAGGAAAAGAAAATGATTTCACTTGGGCACATAATGAGCTTGGATAATCAGTTTTCCTGCTCAGAAGCAATGAATCCAAGGGTTTAAAATAAAAGGAATGTTATTAAGAGGGATAAAACGGCAACTCAGCATAAAAATTCTAGGCCTCTTCACTAAAATCAACAATAGAACCTTCTTGTATATTTTTCAAGGCAGCCCTCACCCCTGTTTTGCCCAAAGCTGAGAGAGCCTGTTCTCCATCTGTAAGGAGTTGTTCTTAAACCTCTTGTACTGTTTCCAAGCACAGTGATCCCACCCCTGACACCGGGTTACTGCTCTTCCAGCTTCAATCCACGAAACCCTGGCTCTGTCAGAGAGGAGTCTGTGGCAAGAAAAACACAAAGTGAACCCTGAGGAACACACCATTTGAGTTTTGGTTTTGTTTTATACCTTTCTTGCTCCCTTGCTCATTTGCTCTACCACTATCAAGTGGAGCACCACAGGTAATTCCTAACCCTCAAATCACCATTCTCTCTTGATGAATGAGAGTTTTCAATACCTTCAAATGTAAGACACAATTGTATTTTAAACTCAGTGCCTGAGAGTGAAATCCACTGAAGTCAATTCACCTGCTCCCTTTTTGTGGTGATCTCTTGTCACTTCAAGCAGTGCTGGATTTCTCTTTGATCCCATTATAGGCAGGATCAGCAGTAAGTCTCCATTCTTTTTGGGCTTACTCAGGATAGATGTAGCTCTGAATTTGAGTTTTACTTCCGTGCAAGTTTACAGCACAAAGCATTGAGTCAAATAGCTGGCTGAAGATGCTAAAAGGAGTTTTTGCAGTGTCTGTCTTCAACTCTAATAAGAGTTTTTGCAGTGTCTGTCTTCAGTTGTTACCATCTCTCTATATGGGCCATTCAAAGTCATTCGCAGCGAAGACACCAAAGGTTGGAATCATTCAGGAAAGCATGAGATAGGCAGAGGTCAGAGGGTTAAATGAAAAGAAAAATAACATATTGTTTGGATAATAGGAGGAGATATTTATTGAAAGTGATGTCCTGCAAAATGATCTGTGCTTTAACTGCAGTGATGCATAAACCTGAACTGGGAAATAGCCATTACTGCTAGAAAAAGTTGTGAGGAGAGTGCTGCAGAAGCTGGGGTGAAACCAGTTTCTTCTACTTCAAGTCCTTGTAGTCTGATTTTATTTCAAGTGCACCGACTGTTTAGAGGTGACCTAAACAGTTCTTAAATAGCAATTTCACTGAATGGTTTAGCTAAACCAGAGAACTAATTTTTTTCCAATTTCTGACTTGTCAGATAAAAACACTGGCTCAGAGCTGCCACCCAACGATCAGACCCTGTAAAATCACTTAAATACGGGCTACCTGTGTTGCAAAGCACTGCGTTCTGTGAGACAATACAGTGGAGGCAAACTAATTTCTTGCTGCATAAAAAAGGCAGTGAAAGGCCATTTCCACCTCCATTCTCTTCTACTCCTCTTTCCCCACACCTGCATATGCCATCACTCATTGCCTTCTCTGCAACAAGGTCCTTTGCTTAGAAATTTTAATTGGTTGACCTGTTAATTTTTGGTTTGTTTTTCCTTATGTATTGATTTTCTGCTGGTTTATCAATTTGACTCAGGTCAGAGCATGGGCAGGGAAGTGCCAACACCAGCACAAAATAAGCAAGAAGGAATGAACTGTTGAGAGCTGAAGAATGGATAGAAGGGAGATTTCAGCTGCAGTGAGCATGAGCACTCTTATTTCAACTCTGTTCTTGTCTAACTGCATGTGACATGGTACCTGGAGATTCCAAGGCTGGCTTTCCATATATGTGTTTGGATATCCAAAGCACTCTAAAACACAAAGTGCCACACAGGAAAATGCTCCTTGCCAAGGTTGTGGCTAAATTAGTCTGTTCAGCACTCAAAGACTTCAGGTATTGATTGTCCCCAGCGGCTGTGCTGCCTTACTGAAAAGTATAATCTTGGTTATCTCTGCAGCTTTCATGTGTCACCTGTCTGAAAGTGTTTTGTCCTGACTGAGCGGTACCATTTGGCAAAGCAAAGAAGATGAAGGGGGATTGACACAGGTATGTTCATTTGTCATCAAACAGCTGTCACCCCATTATACAGCACCAAGAATTTGATACTATTTAAGTGCTTATACAATATTTTCATTTGTAAAAAGTGTACACAGTGCCTTCATTTCACTGCAAGAGGCAAATACCCCATTTTGTGCCCAGTGGTGCACCTTTAGGACTTTTCAGTTCATTTCTCTTCTGATCTACTCTCTTAATGAGCCCTTCATGAATAGTAAAAGGGTATTTGCTTCCAGCTGAACCATAATCCTGCAGTCTGCCTGCTCACCCTAGTGTCCATTTCTAATGGCAGTAGGCATTTTTAATATCTAGTAGGAACAAATTTGTACATCTATGTGTGGATTCATCCCACACATTATGTGTTGCCTATTAGCTGACTGTGCCCTGAACTGCCTGCTTCCAATATGCCAAACAACATCAGTAGATTTCTGTTCAGCTCCATGTTTCCTGCACTAGGACCTGCTGTGGTCTCAGAAGACAGTGATCATTATGTACCTGGAGTTATATTGGCCATCAGAGCTGGATGCAACACAGAGAACCGGCTGTTCCTGCAGAGCTGTGCTGTTTAGGGGAGGCCAGAGTGTGTGCTCAGACAGCAGCCACTCAGTACTGATGTACAAAGCAAACCCACAGGGAGGTTTCTACAAGCTGCAATTTGGCCAGTCTCCTTAATTGGAAAGACTTGGACATCTGCCTGGAAATATTTGGTTAATTATTGGTGGCGGAAAATGATTATCACTTGATTACCATATTAGTTAAATTTTAACCTCTTTCACTACTTTAACAAAGTCAGCATACTGTTATCTAATCACCAGCCAATGGTGAAGTAACAATCCTAATTCTGTCCCAAAACAGTTCATATTATTGAGCAAAGCATCAATCTTCCAAAATAGTGAGAGCTTAGGACCAGACGGGGAAGAACAGGGCATTGCTATTCCCAGAATGGTACTTTGTGATTGCTGCACCAAATTGCTACACTTTGGAGCTGGAAGGCAGAGTCCTGCAACAAAGACCATTAAATTTGTGAGGAAAACACATCAGGAAGCACTAAAGACCCTGCATATCCTGCATCGTTCAACCCTTGGGTGGTCCTTACTTACTGCCCAGACAGAGTCCCGAACTCCAGGTTGTGCAGACTGGACACTGGATGCATGTGCTTCTCTCTGAGAGCCACTTACCTCTGAGCTAGGTAAAGGTCTGGCAGGGGCAAGGGGGGCTTATGAGAGCTTCAATAAGGGTACATGCACATTCTGGAGTGATTTGTGCATTGGAGGAGTCCTGAGGCTTCTTGCAGCTTTTCTGTTCCTTTAGGTGGAATAAGTTGTTGTTTCTTTGGTTTTATTTTTACTGGCTTGGCCTGTAAATAGCGTGAGCTTTCACAAACAGCCTGATACCTCCTCTTCTCAGCTGAATTTCCATTTGCTTCAGCATTTCTGCTGCTGGGACAACCCTGGTTGGATCCCAGTGCATCCTCTGTACTCTCTGGACTGCTGGGGTAGCTGTCAAAGTGTCATGAATCTTCTGGCAAACATGAGTTTGCTCATAAACACACTCCTTCCACCACTTCCCTCTTACACCACTCTCAGGTCCTGCTCCAACTTATATGCTGAGCAGGTGAATTTCTGTGTGGGCTCCTCTCAACACCACATCCTTCTGCAAGGGTATGGACCTCACACACTAATCCTTCCCACCATACCAGTGGTGGGAACAACAAAATGATTCTTTTCTTGTATGCATATTCAGACTTATCTCACACTGCTCTCCCCAGAGACACTTTAATAGAGAGGGGAGAAAGCACCAAGAACAAATCTGCTGTTACCAGCCAGCAGGCAATGGGTTCAGGTTTCACAGGCAGGTTTATTAGATGGTGGAAGAAAAAGACTCATTGTTGAATGCACACCAATCTTCAACCTTCATCTTCTAGGAATTGGTTGTTTTATTCCCCCCATGTTTCTTCTTCATTTCTTTCTGCACATTAAGATCTAGGAAATATTTCTCATACCATCTTCCTGTAAAGAAGGGAAATCATAGTTCAGTTACAGCTTCCCTCCTAGTGCTATCAGGTCACCATGATATTTTGTGAAAAATCCTTTTGTCAGGATTTTCTCCTGAGAAGCTGAGGAGCCTCAGGAAAGAAATGTAAACAATAATTATCTGCTGCTGTGGAATGCAACAGGTGCATCTTTGATTGATCCATGTTGGTTGTTTCTAATTAATGGCCAATCACAGTCAGCTGGCTCAGACTCTCTGAGTCACGAGCTTTTGTTTTCATTCCTTTCTATTCCTTTCCAGTCTTCTGATGGATCTTTTCTCTATATTCTTTTTAGTATAGTTTTAGGATAGCATTTTAATACAATACAATACAATATAATATCATAATATAATAAACCAGCCTTCTGAAACATGTAGTCAAGATTCTCATCTCTTCCCTCATCCTGGGACCCATGAACACAACCATAGTATCATATCCCAAGGATTATTCTAGCTGTAGAGCTTCTCTCTTATTAAAATGCCAGTTTCTAGTCTCCTTGTGCCTCTGCCCAAATGCATCCATTGTCCTTGGCAAAAGCAGCACCCATCTCAGGAATTCAGCAATGTACTTTTCCTGGCAGAAGTCATACCTAGCTCACTAATTCTCCTTCCATGCCAATGCCTGGGATCTATGACTGCCTTCTGAAATATGTCAGGGGTGTAGGAATCTCTCATCAAGCTTTGGATCTTCAGTGGGCCACCTGTAAGGAACAGAAAATAAGGAATTATATGTAGAAATCACCCTGCTGCAGTCCTGGATTTGAGCAGGGGAGCAACACCAGCAGTTGCAAGGACTCAAGAAAAGGCATGTGTTGACTGCAGGACCTTTGATCAGGTCTGAGGCTGGGTGCTGAACAATAGCCTCATCATCACCAGCCAGGAGGTTACTTGTGTTTGCCAATTTATCTGCTTTTCATCCTCACATATGAGATCTACGCAGAGGGTACTGCAAGGTACCATCTTTATTTGTATCCCAGTGCCCCTTCTTCAGTCAAGTGCCCACTTACCTCCTGTTGAATCTCCTCGTCTAAGTGAGTAGCTTCCTAGCAGCTCCACAAAACCCTCACCATCTTACCACTCCAGGCCTTCTTGATCTCATTTTCTGCCACAATACTTAACAAAGAGTTGCCAACTGTGACTTCTCTTTTTATCCCCTCTTTACTTCTAGCCACGAGGGGGCTTTATTTTAATCTCCAATCCTTTCCTCTTCACCTTCCTTTTAATCACACCTTTGTCTTGACAATATTGATTTTGGGCTCCCAGAGGAAAGATGTCCTTCTTTTCTGTGTGACCACACAAACCCAGGACAATGCAGTCCTCAATACCCAGCAAGGTCTTGTCATGGAACATGCTGTACAAGGAAAAGGAATCTGCCTTATGCTGGTACTTGAGAAATTACGACAAGGGACAATTATTTCAGAGTTTCTTGGATGAATGCTCAGTTTCCAACATTTGCTTAGATGGAGAGATCCTGGAGACCTTGGAAACAGAGATTAGGGAAAGATATTTCAGAGCTCCACGTGTCTAAAGGTCTGGAGGAGAAATTATGTTGGCACTGGAATTGGAGGTAACTAGCAACCAGAGATGACAGGGAACATTGGTGTCCATTTGGACAACTCTGGACAGGATGACAGGGGTTATGATTCATATTCACTTTTCACCCTGTGGGGGGAAAAAAAAAGAAAGAAAAGAAAGGGATAAAATACATAATATGGGAGTATCTAGATTCCAGTTCCTCAGGTACCACAGCCTGGAAAAGCAGTGACTTTGGATAGAAGGAATAAGAAGGGAAAGTGAGTATTACCAATGGTCAGATCTCTACCCACAGCAGTGTGGCTGTCTGAGCCCTGGCAAAGCATAGATGGAACCAGCTTTGAAGGTCAGGGGTAGGCGGTGTGTCCCCTCACCTTGGAAGAGATTTACTCTCAAATTGTAATCCAGCTGTTGGTAATCTGAAAGAGATGTCCAGGCCAAGGAGTGTTTTGTCATTTCAGTACAGTCGTTGGGTCCTTTCTGTCCCGTTTCTAATGTTGCATTGCCCTGAGCTTGACATTTCTGGAAATACAAACAACAGCAAAACTCTGTCAATCCACATTCCCAAAGTGCAGCAAACTCCTGGCATTTCCATCCCTGCACAGCTCTTTGAGCTATGACTAATCCCTGGGACCTGGGCCTCTCCTTGAATCTCCCTTAGCGGCTTCGGTAGGCATTGCATTTGCATGGGACAAACTAGGATGAGAAGTGCCTTTCCTGCAGAGGGAACATCTGTGTAAGCCTCTGTCGTGTTCTGCTTGTTGGATGTGTTCCTCATCCCAAGGAGACTTGATAGGTTTAGCCCATGCAAAGGCTGTGACAAGTTAAAACTGAAGCCCTGGCCCACAGTGGTGGAATTTAATCACAATTACCATATGGTAATTGTGAGCCTGCTGGAACTAGCAGTTGGACAAATGGGATCTGGATCAGGTAGGAATGTACGTTTGGATTTGTCAGATTAGCTCAGGACATGACACAGACCTTATCTTCTGCTCTTGAGGCAGTTGTGGGAATGAAGGTGGCAGCCTATGTGATAGGAAGCCTAGTGCTCCACCAGGGCTGCCTTGGTTTTTATCCTGAGAGGGGTCTTTGCAGCACCAAGATTTACACAGTATTGGGGTCCTGAAGCCGAAGTTACTTTATCAGCTAGACTCCAGGAGTCAGTGCTGTATGTTCTGCAGAACCTCTCTCCACAAAAAGAACAGAGCCACAAGACATGAGGAGAGGAAGCCAGTCCTGACTCACAGGGAATGATCTGGTTCTTTTCCCTATCACTCTTTCTTTTTAAGGAAGAGCCATACACTTACACATGATCAAAGTGCAGGAAGCTGCTGCTAAATAAACTGCTGTGCTAACTCCCACCTCCTACTTAAAACAAAAACATGTCTGTTTGTTATTATTACTATATTTGGTAGGAAGAACCTTCCAGTCTGCTGATGTAGAAATTCCTCCTCTCCCATTTCTTCCAACAAAGCAGAATTTCTGTGTAATGAGGCAATGTGTGCATTTCCCAAATCCCTTTCATCAATAATTTTCCCAGTTCCTCTGGGACAAAATGACAGCAAAGCCTGCAACTGTTCCTACTTTCTAGTTTGTAATTGTATATGATGTTTTTGCCACTGCTATTATAAAAACACTGCAACTGCACGTGATTGTTATTTTTCATTTTACTTCTGACCCTGAAGGTCCAAAGTCAAAGCAATATTCAGAGAACTCCACATCTTGAGACCAAGAAGGACTTCAAGGCTGTTTTACCATCCTCCTGGATAAAAGAAACCACAGAAGTATGTCTACTTATTTTTGCTAAACCAATTCTGTGAGGGACAATAGGCAACCAATCAGAAAAGATATATATTGATCAAAGGGCTGAAAAGGGTTAAACGTGATCTTTCTTTCTGAACTAAATGTTTAGCATAGCCTAACACTGACTTTCCTGACATGCAGCCTTTGAGGAAAGAGGGAGCTGTTCTTCCCAGGCAAAAAAACCTCCTTAGACAGGTGTGGGAACTGGCCACTCTGACCAGCCACCAGACACGGCCAAGAGTGATCTCATAGGCCTTCCACGTTTGACTGGGTCTCCAAAGTGTGAGGAGGTTTCAGTGACTTTCCAAACCTGAGGAGCCCCATGGATGTGAACATGACATTTCTTTCTCTTCTTTAACTGATTTTTAAAAAATCCAAATATCTATGATTTATCAAGAGGCAAAATCTCTTCCATAACCACCTCTCCCACCTGGTCCATGATTCCTGGTGTGGTGACTGGTGGTTTGTAGAAGCAGGCAGGTCCTGCTGAAGTCCAGGCATGGAGGTGGGATGAAGGCTGAAGAGATGGTTGCTAGGGAACAATGCTCCCTCTCTCTATGAGCTGTGGGCTCCAGCTCCGTAGGAAACATGGAGCTTCACACAGTGCAGAGAAAGGTTATCCTTTGTGATGGGAAAAACACACAAGGAGCAGAGTAAAAGGCTCATGTTTCATGAAATACCTGTGCCCAAAAGTTCTCATCACACATACAGGATTTCATGGAGACTTTCCTAACATAGTCATGATAATCAACAAGACTGTATTTCAGCAATAATGGATCTTTTAGCATCTCCAAATGCTTCACACGAGCTCTCCAACCTCAGCCTTCTTGCTGGGACCTTGTTGTTGCCTACCTGGAACAGCAGTAGAGGGTAATAATCAGTGGGCTGTACCAGTTAATACCATACATTTATTTTTGATGTCTCTTACCTGAATCCCAGAGAAGCAACACATCTCCCTGTGTGTTGGGTCCAGCTGCCATATGGAAGGTACCCCCATTTTCCACATTCCAAATGGGAAGATGGTGGGCTGGCAAGAAGTCTTCCATTGAGTCAATGACAGAACCACAGCTTGGCCCTCCCATGTTCAATACCCAGTGCTGTATTTTAGCACTGGACTTTGCATTCATTCCTGATATTTCACTAGGAGACTGGAATTTCTGCAGGTTTTCAGGCACAGAGTGTAACTCTCTTTCATGCTGCAGAGCTGCTTTTCCCCCCAACACAAGCAGGTCACAGGTGACAGAAGAGAATTAGAAATACTCACAGATGCATCACCTAAGATTTTATTAATTGTCAAAAATCAAAAGTTCAATAGAAACCTAATGCTAATTCTTAAAAAAATTGGAAAAATCGAACCGATTTTTTCTTTACTTCCACCTCCTCCCTTTTGCTTTCCCCTGGGCTGGAGACAGCTGCTAGACCATATTACCCCAGACAGAGCCCTCCCTCTAGGCCTTGCTGCGCTTCGACTCGGAGACCTTGTAGTGTGGAGGGGCCCGGTGGAACCACTCGGACCAGGAGCCGTCGTACACGGCCACGTCGCGCTTGCCGCACAGGAAGGCCGCCAAGGCAATCTGACACGCCGTGACGCCCTTGCGGCACGTGGCCGTCAGCGGCTTCGAGAGATCCACCTTCTTCTCGCGGAATATTTCCTGGATCTCCTCAATACTCTTCTCATGCCCTGTTTCTGATAGGAATGAGTGGAAGGGTATGTTCACAGCACCAGGGATGTGGCCAGATTCCAACCCTGCAAGAGGGAACCAGAAAATGAAACATAAGCAAGGACACATGAACATAGGTGATGAAAGACACCCACAAGAGACATTGGAGACACCACTGCAGATAGTCTCACTCCCTCCAAAAGACTCATTTGTTCCACTTGATGATGAAGATGCAAAGTGGTATTAGGCTAAAAAGGACAAATATTATTCAACTTTGATGAAGTCAAAACTTCCAGAATATTTAGCAAACTATTTTCTCGCTGAAAGCAATGAGATGTAGAAATCTGAAGAAGCCCTAGACATGACAGGAATCAAATAATCACCACAGAAAATGCCTTAACGAAGGCATTAAAGGCACCTGTGATAAGAATAGAACAATGTATTTCCAACCTTCCCCACGTATGCCAGCAGTGTGTAGTGACAGTTTTCAGACGCAAGAAATGTAGCCTGTATGTGGAATTTGTGCAAGTGGTTATCTGTACACAGTTTATTCCTGCATCAGCTTAAAGTAATATTTCAGAAAAATAAAATTATAAAGCAACCTTAAAGGTAGCCACATTGCTTCTGAGGCAGCTATCCTGGGACAATGGGGTCAGAGAAGTCAGAATTTAAATTCTGCATCACTTCTTAGCTACTCCATGGATGAAATCAGCCAAGGTTCTGTTTTTTTGCTGGTGTATCTGACCACTTCAGGCAAGTTCAAAACTGCACGTCAAAAGAAGGTCTTTAGAGAGTTGCAGATGTAAAAATACGATGGACAAGGTTGGCATTACGCCCTTCAAATTCAGACTTTTATGGCTTAATAATGGAAGCTTTTCCAATCATTTTGAGAGGCTTTGGATCAAGCCTCACTGGAGCCAAAAACATTATGTATTACACTGAAAATGTGTTTCAGGGAATGTTTCCTTGCTAGGTTTGAACTTCTAATGAGACAGAGCTGAAAAAAATCACATGAATAGTAATCGATTTCACTGGCAGCCTTCTACTTGCCCAAATCATTGGGATAACTGGTCTTGGGAGATGGGAATGATTGGGGCAGTTTAATAATTTGACTTTGTTACAGTCAAATGATTAAACTATACCTAGACAGAGTCTGACATCATACATAATGACACTGCAGTTTCATCACTATGCAGAGTGGTAACATGACATAGTGAGATATAAGGGGAAAATGGGTTTGGCACGGAATTGAAGGGAATTTTTGCTCTGCTGGATAAAGACAGAGCCTAAAGACAATCAAAGCTGCCCTGAGTCAGCTTCACAAGTTCTCTTCCTGTTCCAGATGGACCCTCTTTGTCTCTTGATTCATCCTCCCCGAGTGCATTAAAAATATGGCACAGTTGTCTAGGAGTCACCTCATGCATCCTTCAGAAATGTTTAGCATTACTGAGAGAAGTTGGGAGAAAAACTGCTGACTTCTGCAGAGACTAACATTTAAAAAGGAAAAGAAAAAATAAAAGAGGCAGTATTTTGGACTGACGGTTTCACCACATTTTTTCCAGTCCCAGAAGACAACAGCTCATCACTTCAGTACAGAGAACTGCAAAACTCACTCATCAATACAGTGTGACAGAGAGGAAATAAAAAACGAAGCAAAAATGGAGAAAACCTTGTATATTGTTCTCAGACTGCAAAGCTGCTTACTGAAGCCTCTTATATGCCTGGGTTAGGCTACCACTTTCCTACAGTAAATGGACAAGGATTTCTGCAAGGCTCTGCCGCAGTACTGGTGATCACCCCAATATAAACAAGTCTGTGAGCCATCCTAAGGCACTGGGAGGTGTACTGAGATCAGGAAGTCCTGGAGGATGAACTAGAAGGGAACTCTTGCTCAAAGAAGCTTGCTGGGCCATCAATTCACTTTCTAGGTGTCCCAGGCACCATGATCATTATCACTTTGCCAGACTGTTCACACACCTTAAAATAGGTTTGTGCCCCTCTCTTACTGGAGACTGACAATTCACCACACTTAAACAACTCTTCAGGCAGGAGCTGAGCAGATCTGAAAAAAATCCTCATTTTTGAGCAGTTTCAACTTTGATCTATAGGGAGACTTTATTGCTCCAGAGATTCAAAAGTCTGTCGGAGTCAGAGACCAGTGCTTGCACTCTGTGGGTGAAAGATGGGGAATTCTGTAGAAACTGCATTTATTCACACATGTGGGTGTTCAGCTGAGAAAAGAGCTGAAACTGCACAACCACAATCACTTGGACTGCCTAAGAAGTGCTCTCAAGTGGCTGAGGAAGCTTTATCATCTCTCTCTGCTAGGTCAAGAGCAGAGAAACATAGGACTGGAAGGCAAGGCTGGATGCAGCTGGAATCTGAACAGGGGAGAGGATACATCTGCTCCTGTTCCATACAAAACAGAGGACACTCCAGATTCATGCAGTCACTGTCAGAGACTCCAGGAAGGAACCCTAGGACTACAGAGCCTGGGCCCCAGCTACCTCAGTAATCATTTTATAAGCTGCCTTCCAAAAAAGCATCCATCTCAGAAACAGTATGGATTCTTGTCATGAAACTTCCCACTGAAGCACCTCCTGGCTCATGAGAAGAGAAACATTAATTTCCAGTATTCAGATCAACACAGTCAGTCCATACACCATTTATGCTTGAGCTAACACTGCCCTATTGCCGAAATAGATTTTCTTCCCTTCTGCTATTGCTCCAACAGACTGATGGCAAGCCCTCAGCACTCCCAACAACCTCCTGTCCTTAGCCTAGACACAGTAAGAGCCAATTAGATACACTTTTCTCTGGCTTGGCCACCCTAGAAAAAGCTCTAGGTATCCAGCAGGCTTCTGGACACAGAAGTGGCATTTCCTACCATCACAGTTGGCAGACAGGAGCTGCCAAGGCTGTTGCCAAGGTTAAATCACATGTGATGCTCCTGCACCAAACTAATTAATTCAAGTCTTACCCTCTTCTATTGCTTCCAAATGTGGGTTATCAGCTTGTAGGAGAAACACAAGCAGTTCAGGGTTTTGGGCTACTAAGCATTCGAGGTTGCTCTCTGTAGAGTTATACTTCCTGTCACTCGTACATCTGCAGGTGACACCTCACATAATACTCCCCATGTGATCATTTAGACCTTCCCATGGCTGTGCCACAGCACATTTCAGTAACAACTCCCTATTTCAAAGCCTAGATGATTCAGGAAAATAAAAAACAAAACAGGTAAACTTAATGATGAGGTCATGCTGGCAACTTCCAGCCCCACAGATCTTCTTTCAGTCCATGCTGTTCTTAACTCATTTATCTCCTTTTCAGTCAAATTTTAAAATCTAACAATACTTGCGCTATTTGCCCCCTCCTCATATTGACCTAATAAATGCCCCTCTAATGTTATGCCCAAAGCATTAATAAAGTGCAAATGGCACAAGTCTACCTTATAGCTGCTTCCAACGGCTGGAAGGAAAGATCAGAGATTACTTCCAGATATGTATGTTTCCATTTCTCTTATCTGGCCAACCAATTCTGTTGGCAAGGAAATAAAGTCCTTAGGTGAAGTGCAAGTCTACCAACATATTTTACTCAATTTCGCCTTTGTTTAAAATAATTTTTCTTGAAGAGTTTTTTGAAAGCTTCCCAGTCTATCCATGCTAGACGACCAGCAGCTGCCTAGGTTGTCCTGTACCCCCTATTCTGAATATGAAATTTGCAATTGTTTCTGTCCCACAGAACCATGTTTTGAATAAATGTATCAAATTCTTGCCTCATGAAGTTCCAATGTCACATGACTGATTTTTGACACATATTTGGGATTGAGATCGTCTGCCTCACTGATTTGAGCATGGCAATATCTTTCGGTTAGCCCTCTCCCTGCTCTGCAGAATTATCCTTAGGAGAGAAGAAAACATGGTAGCACAGACTCAGAGCTCAGTAAAATGCTGAGACCACACACAAGTAATCTTCCACCTGGAACCCCTGCTAAGTGCACAGCAACCTTATTTATTCTTTCTCTCCTTGTTCTCTTTTGTTCACTCTGTTCCAGAAGATTTTGTTATTTAATTCCTTTTGCCAAGTCTCACTCAGCTTGGTGTCTGGCAATCCTTCCTCACAATTTATAACCTGCAATATGTTATCTTCTTCACTACTTAATCCCCCCTTTCCACATCTGTTAGATTCTCTGCTTACATATTGTTTTTATTGTTGGCTATTTATCTAAGACCATAGCCCCTCCTGTCTAGCCTTCCCTTTGCAATGAAAGCTCCAGATGGAATTTCTTAATGTCAAAAAGATAAAGATTTGCTCAGCCCATATTTAACTCCCTGTGGCTTTGGAGTGTGCTGGCTGCAGATAGTTCTTTTCCAAATGCCTCCTCTGTTGCCTCCTTGTTTATCTCTCTCTTCCATTCAAATGGTATGTCTTAGAAGGGACAATTACTGATCTTGTTTAACCTACCATGAACACATTGTAAGGAACACTTTAAGCTTGGTCCTGGCCAGCTCTCTGAAAGTCCTCGTAGGTTCCTGTGGGTTGAAACAGACTTTGATAAAGCCTATCACTCTCCATTCCTGTGCCTCAAGTATTATTACATGATCAAAGCAAAGCCAGTCCACTCCCAGCTGCAGAATTCTCTCGGAGGAGAAAGAAAAATGTACATTTCATTCTCATTCCCACTGAACATTCAAGATTAGCAAAATCTTTGGGGCAGGCAGGATGGAGAGCTGGGAAAATGGGCAAAATCTGAAGAGTTCTATAAGCAGAAGGGAGACAAGGATTACTTCAGAGCTGAGAAGAAAAATACCTGTAAGTTCATTAAATGATTTTGGGTTTGCTCTCTTTATTTTTAGATGATAGAGTTCTTGCCTGGCAACTTTCCCCTCTTTTCTCAGATGTCTGCAAAAGAATTAAAAAATTCAGAACTTTTCTGTATGTATTTGGTTATTATAATTCTTGTTCATCAGTTTTCAGTGCCCGATAGCCAGAGAAAATCAGCACTGGCAACCATCATGTAATTATTTTTATCATCAGCCCTGGACAGCTAGTTCCTGCAGAAACAGAGCACTGTGCAGGGACACCTCAAACTCCTCAGTGCATAGGTCAGGGCTACACATCTGCCAGGCTTATGCTGCACACTCTGCATGAACATTCAAGCTTTTCGCCCAAAGCAATACCTGCATTTAAGACCTATGAGACCTAGCCTATAGAGATGTCCACTTTTTTCTTCTCTGGCAACTTTGGTGAACCTCTCCCACCAAATAAAAATTAGTCCTATATTATGCCTTATCTTCACCAGTACAGAGGTCTAAATCCCAGCACGGATAAAAGTAAAACAGGGACAATTAATTCCTACCACAAAGAATTGAAAAACTAAAGAGGCAAAAGAGTCAGCTGCAATTAGCCTCTTCTAGAGATGAAGTTCACAGAACAGGAGAGATTAATTGACTTAATTAGGAAGTCAAGAACTGAAGCAATAATTAAACTGAAATCACCTGAGAAGGCAGCAAGTTCCTTAACCTGAAGACCATTAGTCTTCTCTAAATTGCGTCCTCCCTGATTGGATGACCCCTGCAATTAATCAGCATTGATTTCAAATTGCTCTTTTAGGTGTAAGCACTGTCTTTTACCCACTGCTGGCTGATGTGCTGCTGATGGCTAGTTTGGTTCAGAGAGCTGTCAAGCTCCTGTGGAATGAGCAGCTGCAGCTGGAGTGCTTATCCTGCTGGATCTGCTGTGGGAAGCAAAACTGGACCACCACAAATAAGCTGTTCCATGCTGACTCATTTCAAAGGAAAAATCTGTTTTGAAGATGCTGTTGGGTCTGCGGTATTTGTCATCTGGACACAACTCTCACCTTGGGAAAGAATGCAAAATCCACCAGCTCCCAGCAAGGAGCATTTTAGTCACATCTTGAGGTTAAAATTCAACCTTCACTTTGATGGGCTGTGGTAGGAGAAGAAATAGAATGAGTGATAAGCCTAACTTTCCCTTTCCCCAGCCACAGTCTCCTCCATCACTCCCATTACCTCTCCCACGTTCCACATTGTCTTTCTGCAGGTCAAATGTGTTGAGGAGCTCCCTGTAGACACCGGGGCCACCCATGTTTACAGTAATTTACAATCAAATGCTCCTGAAGTTTGGATGCAGGAATGTACTTTGGGATGTGTTGTCACACTAACTGGCTGTAGAGCAACACACACATGAACAGCCAGGAGAGAATGACAACAACCTGTGGGGCAGCAGGGCAGCACAGCCTGAGGACCACAGAAACCCTCTGCACATACCAGCAGGGTGGGCTCTGCTCAGACCCAACAGCTGCTGCTGAGCTTTTCTGTGCTTTACCTTCTAGAAACTCTTTTTCAACCATTTCTGTGATTCCCTTGTTGAGGAACACATTCAGTGCTGGTAGCTCGGTGTGCAGCTGCAGTGTCAGCTGCAGGTTGGGCTCTGGGCCATGGGAGCCCCAGGCAAGAGGCCAGGAACTGGCGCTGACCCTTGGCACAACAGAGGGCACAGGACCTGTGGCACAGCCAGGTGACCGGACACTGAGACACAGCAGGAGCCGAGGACTCAGCAGGAAGAGCCAGGACTTTGTCACACAGAGATTGGGAGAGCATAAAAGTTCAGTGCTTCCTTTGTTTAGGTCCCTCCTTGGAGGCATAAGCTCAGGCTGTTTCTGTGCCGTTGTACTGTTAATAAGTTGCTTTAAGGAACCAGGCTTTTGAGGCTCTGCTAAGGAAAACCCAAGCTAGAGACGGTAAGAAAACCTGGCGTGAGGGGGTGTACGGGGTGTGTAGGTAGTCAAGTGGGGCACGCAAAAGTTCAGTGGAACTGCCTCCTGAGAAGCGGTTTTGGTCCCAGCAGTTAAAAGTCTCTGGTGGTGGGAGTGTGATTGCCAGAGTGCCTCCTGAATGGTCAGTCAGGAAAGTTTCCTTTACACCCTTTCAGAAGCGAGGTTATTCTGGGATACACCAAGGCTTAAATTACACAGTAAGGGCCTCCTTTAACTAACTGCAATTTCATTCCAGGCACACTGCTGTACCTGCTGTCCCCACTGCACAGGACTTCCACCCCTGCTGCTTGGGTGTCCAGTGTTTCACCGAGGTAACAAAATCAGTTTTTGTTCCTGTAACTTGGGGCACCTAAAAGAGAGAGGCTGACACCCCACACATTCACTAAAGGCTTCAGACTTTTTTTACATAAGCAAAAGAACAAAGATCAGCTCAAGCAAATTCTCTATTTGCTGAAAGTCAGAGTGATAAGGAGAATGTCCCTTGGGTTACTGTATTACCTAAAACCTTGGCTTTTGCTTGCGCACTCATTATGGTGAGAGGGGCCTGTATGAATACTGATATTTTTTATGTGTCTGCTGGTTTTAGATAGGACCCTGAACAAACCCCTGGGAGCTCTCACCTCCCATGTTTGCATTTTGATAAACTTCTGCAGGGTGTGGGATGGGAGATCCTGGAACCAAATGACTGCAGCCCTTTTCTGCTATTTCCTCCTGCAGCTTTACAGCCAACTGCAACAAAAGCATTCAGTGATGGCACTGGGGTCTGAACGTGCAACTGTGGATCCCTTAAGGTAATCAATGAGTCGGGCTGAGGCATGCCTGTGCATTAGGAAAATCTGTTAGATGGCTGTCAGGAGCTCTTACTCCCAGTCTAGTATTGACATTCATCCCTTTCTGGGGCAGGTGCCAGTCCCACCTCCATTACCTTGGTCCAGCTCTGTCCCCCGAAACCGGCCCTCGGGGCGGGAATCCACCACCTGGAAGTTTAGGGATGACACGTTCTGTACCATCTCCTCAAAAGTCTTCACCAGGGCCCTGTTCAGCCTGGCCTTAAAGACAGCCGGGGTGGGCTGGGTGACCTCTGCCGTGACGGGGTGCCCCTCCTTCACCCAATTCTTGAAGCCACCGTTCAGCACAGAGACTTCCTTGTGCCCAAAGGCCCGGAACATCCACCAGGCGCGGGGGGCGTAGAAGGTGCCCACCTCGTCCCCGTCGTACACCACCACGTGCGTGTCATTGCTGACCCCCAGCCCGCCCACGTAGTCGGCGAAGTGGGACTCGCTGGGCAGCATGAAGTCATAGGGGGAGGACTTGTCCCGGCACTCCTCGATGTCGAAGAAGGACGCCCCGGGGATGTGCCTCTCCCTGAACTCCTGCCGGGCGTTTCGCTCCTTGGGGGGGTACCAGGAGGCGTCCAGCACCCGCAGGCCGGCGCCCACCCGCCCGGCCCGCACCGCCTCCGCCAGCCACGAGGCCGTGACCAGCGCCCGGCTGAGGCTCTGCCGCGCCATCTCTGGGGACCGGCGGGGCCGCCGCCGCGCTCCCCTCACACACAGGGCCCGACACGGCCCGACACACGCGAAATGGCGGCGGGAGGCGCGGCCCGAGGGGCGGCACGGAGGCGGCCGCACGGCCGGGACCGGCCCGCTGGGAGCGCTCCCGCCCTCCGGCGGCGCCGTGGCTGGCGGGCAGCGAGGCCCAGCGCGGAGGTACGCGGCGAAGCGGCGGCAATCGCGGCCCCGCCGAGCCGGGGGGGCTCGCAGCGGGCGGCGGCGGGGCCCCGGTAAGGCCCCGGCTGCGGGTGTGCTCCGGGGCGGGCAGAGGCGTGGGGCCGTGCACTCGGTCCTTGGGGCTGTCCCGTTCTGGCTGCTGTCGCTGCTGGCTGGCGTCCCTGGATGGGGCCGAGAGCAGGGCACGACTACCGTGGCTGTCCCGCTCGGGGCACTGTTTGGGATGAGCTCTGGGAAACTACTTGCAGGGCTGGAGCATTTCAAGCCCTTCACTGTAGGCTTAGCCAGCACCTCAGTGCAGACACGGGTCCCAAAATGTATCTTTGTCTAGTTGCTTTTTGAAAGACTGGTCTCTAATTTGTGACTCTCTACCTTCTGCAGTCAGGTGGACTCAGGCAGAATCCAGAAATTGGCTAATCTTAGCCAGGACTCAGGAGCGATGTCGCAACAACTCCTTTACCGAGCTCTGGTGTCTGCAAAATGGCTTTCAGAAGCCATCAAGTCCCAGCAAGCTGGCCTGGCCTTGAGAATCGTGGATGCATCCTGGTATTTGCCGAAGATGAAGCGCGATCCGAAGCGGGAGTTTGAGGAGCGCCACATCCCTGGTGCGGTTTTCTTCGACATTGACCAGTGCAGTGACCGAACCTCACCTTACGATCACATGCTGCCCAAGGCTAATGACTTTGCTGAGTATGTGGGGAAGCTGGGTGTGGGGAATGATTCCCATGTTGTGGTGTATGATGGCAGCGACCAAGGTCTCTTCTCAGCACCTCGCGTGTGGTGGATGTTCCGGGTCTTTGGACACGAAGCTGTCTCCCTTCTGGATGGCGGCCTGAAGAACTGGCAGCGAGAGGGGAACGCACTTAGCTCTGGGAAAACCCAGGTAACTCCATCTGAGTTCCATGCCTCCTTGGACAAGTCCCTGGTGAAAACATATGAGGACGTCTTAGATAACTTGGATTCCCGTCGCTTCCAACTAGTGGATGCCCGCGCTGCAGGACGGTTCCGGGGAGTAGAGCCAGAGCCCCGAGATGGTAATGCGCCTTCTGAGACAGTGGCTTTATAAAGAGGGGTTTCATCTAATGTGCCCATCACTTTGACTCATGTAGAGGTAATGCTAGGAAATAACGTCTGTCTTTTATAGGATGGGACTTCAGGCAGTGTGTCCACCTGTCCTCCTTCCCTTTGACTAGCAAGTGCTACTCTGGGAAAATTCAGCAGTAGGGAAGCCATGTATCTTTTTGTCCTCATGAGGGGCTGGGGTGAGGAACATAGCTTTCAATACACCCCAAAGATTCTCATTGGTCTCTTCAAGTACTGGTGCTACTCTTCTCCTCAGAAAGGCCTGTGGAGGTGCTTCATCAGTGTGAGTTGCTCTGATGGGGAGAAAGAAGTGGAGGGAACTAGAGGAAAGAATGGAACTTGACAGGGTTGTGCCCATGTGGTAACACGGTTACACATAGAGCTATCCTTCGTGAGTAATCAGTAATCTAGTAAAGCAAAGTGTAACAAAAATAAATGTACTTGTTTTAACAAAATACTCTAAGCAATAAATATTCCTCTCAGTGAAGCAGAAGAGGCTTTGCAATAGACTTGTCACAGACAATAGAGGTTAATTCCTGTCTGTACTGTTTTTTCTTTAGGAATTGAGCCTGGTCATGTCCCTGGGTCGACGAGCATCCCCTTCACTGATTTCCTCACAGAGTCTGGCTTAGAGAAGACCCCTGAGCAGATCCGCACTCTGTTCCAGGAGAAGAAGGTGGACCTCTTAAAGCCAGTGGTAGCCACATGTGGCTCTGGGGTCACTGCCTGCCATGTGGCCCTGGGGGCCTACCTCTGTGGCAAGCCAGATGTCGCAGTGTACGACGGGGCCTGGGTGGAATGGTACATGCGGGCACAGCCTGAAAATATTATTTCTGAGGGAAAGGGGAAAAGAGTGTAATAAGCTGCACTGTTTCCCAGTTGTGCACGTAGCTTGCCTTGAAACAGGATTTGGAAAAGGTGGGTTTAGCATTCCTGATTATGTGTATTGAGATGAAGGCATTGGATAACAATCATGCGCACATGGTGCTTCGGCACTTTCTCCTTACCCTGCTGCTGCTTAGGAGGATGAAGATGACAGCAGTTCTGGGCAGCCAGCTCTAGGTGACCCTGCTTGAGCAGATAGGGTGGAACACATGTCCTCCCAAGGTCACTTCCAACCTCAGCCATTCTGTGATTCTGTGACCATTTCACCGTATCAGATGGATGGCAGAGAGTGCTGCTGCCAGCATGGGGAATTAATTGAGTTAAGCCAAGCTCCTGACTCAAAACATTCAGTCATGCTCATTCACAGGATGGTCATACTTATATAACTGTGCCTCATAATCCTGCTCTCTGCTTCTGTCCCACCCATGCATGTTATGGCCACTTTGAGTGCAAAACTTTGTGGAAAGAGATGGCTGTTAAAGGAGCAAATACAGCATTCAGGTTGGCACTTAGGCTAGAGATTGATTTGTATATCTTCTTGTACTTGGACTCTAATGTGTACTCAGCCAGCCTTGTAGCCCCATTGTCCAAAATCCCCCTTGAGATTCTGGGATTTAAATGATGTAAATAAAAGTGTTTCAAGGTCTTTCTGCTCAATGGAACTTGCCTGAGTGTTGCTTAGGTGAATACTTTTCAGGAGTTCTGTTTTTATGGAATCACTTTGTCCACAGTGAGATTCAGATGAGATATTTCCTTCTCTCTGTGAGTAGAACCACACCTCTTATCCTCAACAGCTCTTTGACCCGGGAAGGACAATGGCATGCCTCTCTCTTGGGTCTCTGCACCATCTTCCAGCTTTCAGTCCTAGTCCATTTGCTTTTTTGCCTTAAAGTCCACAGTTGTAGGTTACAGCTCTGTTCTTGAAACACTGGATGTCAGCTTACATAGTGGAAAATGGACTGCATGGGTATTTTCATTCTTGCCATGTAATGTTCCCCTACAAACTTAGCAGAACTGAGACCTTCAGAGGAATAGCCCATACTGGCACCTATTTTTCCCTAAGACCTTTTTGTTTTATGTCTAAAAGTTGAAAGCACACCAGGTACCCCTGATAATGGTCAAGAATTTGTTCTCTCTGGGATTTTCTCCTCTACAAAAAATGCAGAAAACTAAACAAAAAAACCCACAGAAACCTCCCCCCCCCCAAAAAAAAAAAAAAGCCTGCAAACTTAAAAGTTAATGTGACAGTTTCTTCTCTTGGGCTTGCAGCAACATGTAACAGGTAAATCTGTGGATGTAAAAATCTGTGGATGATGGGGTTGCACTTTCTAGGCAATGCAGTGAATGCTTATTGTCACAGTTTTGACTGTAAGGACTGGATTCTTCCCCATTGCTGAGAGTTTATTCTTTGCATTTCTTCTTACTTCTTTTGGCTGCTTCTTCTTGGCCTTGGCTTGCATGCATGCAAGTTCTGTTTCTGCTCACCTCCTGGGCAGCTGGAGTTTCACTGTCCAGTTTATGTGTTCCTCTGTCCTCCCCACTTACACATAGGGTCTGACCACCCTGACTGACAGCCTGCCATTTCCCTGCTTGCATCCAGACTGACAACCCAGCTCTTGGAGGACTTGGGCTGGCATTGCAGCAAGTGCTGAGTACACAGAGTGCACAGGGGTCTGAAACAAGTGACCCTTGTCACAGCAACAACACAGAGAGGCTGATTTTGTGATTATGTGGCCAGATGAGGGCCTGTTCTGGAAAATTTAGTTATTAGGAAAATTGACTTATTGTTTCAGACTTATTTGCAATAGATGCAATGAGCTGGCTCTTGTGTGTCCTTCCAGAACATTTTTTGATGCCTCTTAAGCACTCTGTTTCTTTTTTGCCACTGACCCAGCAGTCTTGGGGGCTTCCTCTTAAGACTGAGATGCTTTTCTCTGTCCTGTGTGTTGCAGGGAGGTGTGTGGCACAGCCCAGCCATCCACCTGGAGATTGCAAATTACATGGAAAACTTCCCTCTCCCCTTGCTCTACATTTCACCCCTGTGGCTTGATCACATCCAGCAGGGCCCTTCCCCCTCTCTGGTATTTATGCCAAGCTTGGCAGTACTCAACTGCTCTTCTTGGGCTGAATTTTGTGCTACAAAATCTCAGTGATTCTTCCCAGCTTTTGGCAAGTCTTTCCCCAGATGCTTAACTTTGCCTTGATTTCTCCACAGAGGAGAAACTGAGATCCTCTTTCCCACAGCAAGATACTTTGTTTTTCTGGGGTATTCCCTCTTATATCATGTATCAAAAATCTATCCAAGAGTGTCTTCTGATGCTCCTCCTCCTTTTAGTTGAGATCCCTTCTGGTGATGCAGGCAAAGCACTGAGAAGGTTGTGAAGACCGAGACAATGTTTTCAAATCCTGGAGACTTGAAAAACCTATTTTGAGCTATAACAGATGCTACTGGACATATGGAACAGCTGAGGGGACTTACACCAGGACTATAAATGTTCTGCAGATCTTTATGTCCCTGACTCAGTGGGTGGGTTTCCTATAGGAACCAAATGCTGGGGAGAAGTGGATATAATGCAAATCACTAATGTTAATGACTTTCCTGTGGAAAATTTGCCACAGGGAATTGGTGATAGCATATCTTTGGTGGAATAGGGCTCATGGTAGCCAAAAAGGTAGCCTAAACAACAGTCCTGATGTAGGAGGAAGTTCACACTGACCTGTGGCTACCTTGAGACTAGAGTTTTTACAGCTCTCTGTATACATTTGAGAATCCCAGGCCAGCATGTAAACTCTCTATTGGTTTATTGGTATATTTGACTATCTGCAATACTTTTGTCCTGAAGGAGGTTTGGATTCTGTGCAAAGAGTCTGGTCTAGTCAAAAGTAATCCCATGGTCCCCTGTTCTTCACTTGTCTTCTTTGTCATCTCCCTTCCTCTTCCATCCTGCTCCCTAGAAGCCAGGCTGCACTATTTCATGCTTCATTTCCCAAAAAACTTTGTTCCTCTGTAAATATTTCCAAATTCTAGAGCAGCCCTTCTTCTACCAGCACCACTGGCCCGAGCACTGTGCATGAGCCATGGTAACTAGTGTTGGCTGCAGGGACATTTCATATTCCTCCCATCTCTCCTGGTCCCAGCTTACAGCCAGGTGCTGCACAAGCATTCTGTCTCCTTCTCCCAGCAGTCTTCAGCAAAGGTGCTGCGTGATGCACATCCACACACAGGCTTTGCACACTGCTTTGAATGCAGGTGCATTGCTCACAGACCTCATGCAGCACAAGAAGCTGGAGGAAGATTAGCTTGCCTGTATGCCATGGAGCCTTTCTTTTCATCCTTCAATATGCCTGGCTCAGCTGGCAGTCAAGCTGGACTCTATTATTCAACTGTGTCCACCCCCAGGTCCAGTGTAGGGAATTTTATTTGCCTGATTCCCTATTGGCTTACTGGCAAAATGTCAGAGCATCACTTGTCTTGCCCTCTCCACTTCCTGCAGAAAAGAGAGTGGCATTGATCCTACATGGACATGCCAACTAGTTTTTCCTGGTTTCTTCTCCAGTGCCTCCTGCTATGTAATCCCCAATATGTGTTCCCAGCCTGTCAGAGTGGTGACACTCTGTGCCAACCCATGGTGATCTCTGCTCCCACTGCTGTTCCACAACACAATGATTCCATAAGAGCAGCTCTGCAATGCCAGCAATGCATCATATGCCATGTACCAAGCTGCAGAGCACTGCAGTGTGTGTAGCCTTCTGCAGGATTGCATTGCAGGCCTGACTGCTGAACCAAGACACTCCCAATTTACCTCCTGCTCTGTTCTCCTCAGCTCTTGTTCAGTATCCAGCGCCTGTCAAGTTTTTCCTGCTCCCAGTTTGTTTGAGCAATGGTCCCCATGATTTCACTGGGGACTGCAAGGTTGTGTGGTCTTACAGCATCACACAGCCCTGTGTAAGCTCTTGCTTGCTCTCCATTTCTGTGCATGTGTTTTATACATGGTTGTCATAAAGGCAGCAGGAACAAGTCACAGAATCATAAAACCTTAAGGCTGGGAAAGATATCATTGAGTCGAACCTTTGACCAAACACCACTGATTGTTTAAACTTACCTCTCCTGTGCCCTATTTCTTGATTTTAGGGGACCTTAACAAGGGTGCCTTTATTGCATCTCAGAACTACATCTGCTCACAGTGTGCATTCAAGTCTGTATTTAGTCCATGCCACCAACTCATCAGAACATTTCAGTTGGTAAATCACCTCACACTGGCTTCTTCCTAAAGAGGATTTTCACATACTGTGGGGAAATCCCTGGCCTGGTGCATTTTCAATGATTTTTTTTTGCTGTATATTGCAGAAAAAAGGCTCTGATGATAGAAGTGGTGTTCCTTGACATCTTTCCTTACTCACAGTAGACCTCTTTAGATTTAACGATTAACTTTTCACCCCATGGCCCTGGGGTGAGCAAGACTTGAGGTTCCAGCCACAAGTGGAGACTTGTATTGATGGAAGTATGCCTTGAATATAGACCATCCTGGACTCGTGAGCAGCATTGTCATGGGGGAGGTTGGAAAAGAAGGTGTTGAGAACAAGAGATGGACCTTAAAAAGGAGAAAAGGCTGAGGGAATGTGAGAGGAGGAAAAGGAGAGGGTGAGCCCTTGGTAAAAGAGGGAAGAGAATTGAAGGCAGGGCAGATTTCTTGGAGGGGGAGATAAGGGGCTATAGGCTGCCACCCAACTGCTGCATTCATATCAGAGGGCCCCAATCCTCACCTAGTTCTGTGCTGGAGCTGCAGCCAGCACAGACAGGGTCCACACACCAGAGTGCAGGGCATAGGTCTCCAATTTACTGTGGTTTGACTCAGAGCCAGAATTAGGAGGACAGCAGTCTGACAGCCCAGAGCTGCGTTGCGCTGTGATGCTTCAGCCTGGGTCTGAGCATCTTTGATGCATGTTACTGCTCAGTGGAGACTGGTCCCAAGGCTGGGCAGTAATATTGGCCAGAGCTTTCTCCATATAGGTAGACAAAAATATTTTTTCATGCTCTGTTAATGGTCACTAATGCTGGTTCAAAATTATTTGAATTTACACCCTGGAGCAGCTGCGTTGTTCCTGTACTTAAATTAGCTGAAGGTCAGCAATCTTGAAACCTCTTCCGTGTTACCCTCTCTTCCTCTCCTCCCCTTGGCACTCTTCCACAGAAAGAGCAAAGTACACATGCCATCTTTGTGAAGGAAATCCTGGATGATTTGGGGGAAGGGCGATGCTGCCTTGTTCTGTAGTGATAAAAGGGAGTGATTTGCAAGTAAAAGAAGAAGGAAGGACAAGAAGAAAAGGAATGTAAGAGTAAAACATAACGTTTCTCTTTACCCAGCCTCTTCACTCAATAAGCCCCCACCTACAAAGGCACTAAGATCTAAATGCAGGAAAAATAAGGTGTTGTGTGTCTCTGCAGTGCTGCATTGCCCTGTCAAGGAAGAGCCAGGAAGTTGCTTAGGTGGAGGAAGGTTTTGAGCCACAATGTGGTGAAGCACCAGCCTTTCCTTTCCATTCTTTACGTGCTCAAGCTGCTGGCAAGCACAGCTGTGCTAAGGTGGGAGTGGGAAAAGCAGAGCTGTTGGAGAGAGCTTGTTTAGGTTGTGTCTGTGCCAAGGAGTGTGTTTGAACAGAGTCCCCTGGGGCATGAACTGCTGAACACCAGGCTCGGCCTGGCAGGAGCGAGTGGCAGAGGCAGGGCTGGATTCCATAACACGGGATTGGCACATCAGCCTTGGCGGGTGATACGTGCCTGGGGCAGAGGTAAAACTCCACACAGAGCTGAGTTACAGTCTCTGTTACAGTCTCTGAGTTACAACTCTCTGTTTCCCAGACACAAACAGGGATGGCAGGAGCCCAGGGGAAGGACACGGGGGGTTAGTGCTGGTAGAGCAGCCCAGGGGGGGGAGTTTGCTGAGTCAGCAACTCCTCTGAGCTGGAAGAAAAATTATTCCTGCCCCCTGCCAGCACTTCATGCAGATCCAAAATACAGTTCCCAGAACTGTCCCTACATATGTTAGCAAGAAGGCAACTGTCTGCGTATTTTGCTGCAAGAAAGTATGGCAACTGATGCGGCACTGACTGCTGAGCCTGGGTAATGGATGTCCTGAAGGGAATGCTGTGAAGTACAGCGCTGAGGGGCTTAATCTGCCGGCTGCCAGGGAGCAGCTTGTGCTTCCTGTCTCCGAGGGAGCTTGCAGACAAGACCCAGGACTGGAAGCAGGCAGAATACCAGCCGCAGGGCTGGGGTCATGTGGTGCAGTGCCCTTCCTTACAGCATCCTCACTGCGGGAACAGCGAGCCGGGAAAACTACAGTTCCCATCACCCTTTTGTGCATGTCCCTGCGAAACTACAGTTCCCAGAACCTTTTAATGAGCCAGAGAGGATGACTGTGGAAATAAATGCCGACGATATTTGCATAACACCCTGCACCTCCGGCGTGCTGACTGTCCCATGATCTTTGAAAACGGGAACAGGGGAAAAGTCAGGAAGTGTCAGCGCTGTGGAGCTGTGGCTTTGCCCACCCCAATATCCGCAGTGATATCCTCCAGCACCGAGCAACCTTCCTCCTCTCAGGACTCCCTTGGTAGTCACAGGGAAGATCCTGCTCCCCGGGAAACACGTAAACTACAGATCCCGGCATTCTCCGACAGGCAGCACCTGCGGCAGTCCCTGCACGCCGTGGGGGAGGTGGGGGTGAGGATGAGGATGGAGGGCAGAGAGGAGATGCAGGGCGCCGTGGGGCTACGCTGCACCTGGGACATTCCGCCGCCCGCTGGCACCCAGGCCAAGTGGGTGAGGCTCAATGTGGGGGGCACCGTCTTCCTCACCACCAGGCAGACCCTGTGTCGGGAGCAGAAATCTTTCCTGTGTCGCTTGTGCCAGGGCGAGGAGCTGCAGTCGGACCGGGTAAGGCAGCTGGGTTGCCTCCCGCACCGTGCCCCACCGAGCATGGGGAGGGCTGGAGGGATGCAGGGATGGAGCCAGACCCCGGCAGCTGCAGGAGCAACTGAGTGAGGAATTCCTGCTTTTTTCCCCTCCTCTCCTGGGAAGGATTTCCCCTTGTTGTAGCCTGGCACCTGCCTTCCTGAGCTGGGAAAAAGAGAGGCCATCTCCCCACTGCTCCTGCTCTCCTTCCTCTTTGTCACCCCACATCCTGGGTTTACTTCCCAGCTGTGTCTGCCTGACTCAGCCTTGTTCCTGTAAGGGAATCTCTGCTCTCTCGCACCAGGCCAGGATGCACAGTTGCACAAAGAGACTGAGGCCTATTTTTTGGTCTTTTTCACCTGGATTGATTCATGCTGAGATGGGCATGCTGAGCAGACGAATACAGCAGTTAAAATCCAAGCTGGACTGACTTGGCTAGGGACTCTCAGGGACCCGTGGTTTCCAAAGAATCTTAGAAATAGTGGACAATTTTGCTTAGGTTTGTATTTTCTTGTATTCTAGGGCATTTGACAGCTGGTTACAAGTTTTCCTTGGGTTTTTTCTCCTTGTGATCTATATCTGTTGCTAGGATGAAACTGGTGCATACCTAATAGATCGGGACCCCACTTACTTTGGACCGATTCTGAATTTCCTCCGTCATGGGAAGCTGGTCTTGGATAAAGATATGGCTGAAGAGGGTGAGTTGTGGAACTCAGAAAAATCCCACTTACTGTAGTCAGAAAAAATAGGACTTGTGGTCAGCCTTGTTGTCTCTTGTTCTTGTTTTGGATGTTGATGTGAGGGGATTTCAGAGAGCTATCTCTGCAAAACATGATGTTGTCTCCTTTAATAAAGGGGTTTGGAGTGGTTGAGGAAGGCATCATTGTAGGTGTTGTGGCATCACAACTGTCCAGCAGAGATGTCACCAAGACAGAAGTAGGCAAGATCTCAGATAAGCCATTTTTTACTTGCTCCTGATCTACTTTTAACCAGGCTCTATGAGTGAGTTTTCTATTAATGTCTGTTTCTAATTAGGAATGAAAGCCCAGTAGACCAAACAAAACCAAGCTCATCTCTTCTACTGACTGTAATAAAGACCATCATTAATCAGTGATATGCACTGTATGCTGCTTGTGCTCTCATGGGTTGGACTGCAGAAATTCCAGTGGAACAGGTCAGGCAAACCAGTCCCTCATCTGAGGTTGGCAGTGGGTCCAATAGGATGACTTGGTGATATCACAGTGTTACCAGTCAGCAGTCCACAGTGCCTTGTTATTTTTTGGGTGCTAGGGTCTAATAAGGAGCCAATTCCAAATGCAGGTTGTACTGTCCAGCCCTTGCCAAGCACAGTTTCTACATGGTCATTAGTCTTTTTGTCTTTCTTACACATTTTTACCTAAAGCAAGGAAATTTTTCTTCAGAATAGTCTTACCAGTTATAATTCCAAAAATATACCCAACTAATGGTACAGGATTATAATAAGCACAATTTTGAGGTGTTTCCTACTTGGCATTTCTTGTAATCCTGAGGTCAGAGAGAGTTCATCTGCAGGTTTTAATATTAAATCTGAAACATAAACAGGAGTCCAGTTCATTTGCATTGCCTTTTTTTAAATCCTGCTGCAAACATTCAGACTGGTGTAAAACTAATCCATTAGAAAATTCATTGCTGAATGAGAGACACAGAAGAGGTCTGAGTGTGTCAGGTAGTGAAGGATCAATCTCCCCATCTATATTTTCTTTGTACTGCCCTGGGCACATGTGAGTGTTGGCTTCCAGCCACCTTGCCCTCACTGACTCTCTGGGAACCACCTCCCTTTCCCTGAAGACCTGTTAGCAAACAGGTGAGTCTCAAGAGAGGTGATGGATGCAAACACCATAGAGAAAAAAACAAAAACATTTCTGCTTACCTGTTTTAAGTTGAAGCACTGGGAAGAGAGCCAAAGATTGTATAAAGTCATATAGGGCTGCAACTCCAAGTGGCCTAGGAGGTAAGTTAGGCTTTTCTAGGGTCTTTTGGTGACTTGTCAGAATTGCAAGTTGTGTTTTTCTGCCTTAATAAGAGAGTCTGAGTCAGACAAATGGTCATTGAGAGAGACTGGAGCCTACAGTTGTTCTCTTTGGCCAGGTATCTGGTAAAGGTATTAGCAGTCCTCAGCACAAACCTTCACTGGCAGTGCCTGTTTCTGTAGTAGCAGGCAGTGTAAGGAAGTTGGGGTGAGCATTAGAAGCAAGATGCAGAGAGCCAAGTTTCAATTTTCTGCAGTAAGGGTTTAAAGCCTGTTAAAAAGTAAGGCAGTAATATAATTTCTCCCTATGGACCTTGTGAAACTCAGAATTGATCTTTTGCAAGTCAAAAAATAAAGATGGGCTGCTGACTTTCTGCCTTTGTGGTCCTTCTCTCTGTCTTTCTCAGGCATCCTTGAAGAAGCTGAGTTCTATAACATTGGTCCTTTGATCCGAATAATCAAGGATCGAATGGAGGAGAAGGACTACACAGTAGCACAGGTATGGCAAGATAGAGTGGGTTGGGAAAGCAGGGGGTGTAAAAAAGGAGAGAGTTGAGTCCAGAGTGAGAGAAGCAGCAAGGAATGGAAGGAAGAAACTAATTAGAGATTATGTGCTAATCCCTATGCAGCAAAATCTTGCAGGGGACAAACTACAACCAATTTAGTTACAATAAACAAGTAACTAAATGGATGTTTAGTTGGGATGCAGTCTTGCTTTGCATCCCAGAACTAATGCTGGAGGTAATCCCTGAAACTAAGTGAGCTTCCCTAGCTTTTGGAAGAAGGCATCTGGTTGCTGTGTGATATAGATGAATGTTTGTGAGGAGAGCAAAGGTGTCATGGAGAGGAGGACTGGTCTGGGGAGTCCTGTGAGTGTAATTACAATGAAGAGCATGGAAATACCTGTAGAGAAACCTGGAGGAAACAGGTGAAGAGATGGCTGTGAAAGAGTTAAATACAGACAAGGGATCAATCCTGTGGCACAATCACACCTGTCTTGGCCAGCAACCTTTGAAAATCTTTCTTAGAGGGAGGATTGTCTGCTATCTCACTTTTCATCTTGTCTGCCTCAGGTTGTAAGCCTCCAGCAGCACAGCCACTTTGTGCTGCAAAGCCCCATCAGCATTTTCTGCATTTGCAAAAATTATTTTGTACTTAAAAGTGCATACTTCCCCATCAAAGAGGGCAGTGTCTTCTGGGGACAATGCAGGGAGCACTCAGCTCAGTCCCTACTCTTCAGGAGAGATACTGTTCTTGCCTCCAGTGACAGCACAGGAGAAAGCTGGACTGTGGTTTCCACTCCCCACTCCCACCCGGGACATGGGGAAGAGGACAGGTCTGTCAAGGAGAGGTATTACCACTTCATTGTGCAGGAGGGGAACAGCTTTTAGCATGTGACAGTTGTCAGTGTGCTCTGAATTTTGCTCTCAGGTGCCTCCTAAGCATGTCTACCGTGTGCTGCAGTGCCAGGAAGAGGAGCTCACTCAGATGGTTTCCACTATGTCAGATGGATGGCGCTTCGAGCAGGTATGGGTGAGGCAGAGCAGGGGGAGAAGGAGTTGTCTTCTGGGGAAAAGATCATGGATACCATGCAGTTGCCAGGCAAGGCTCCTTCCCTCTCTGAGAATACTGGGTAACTCATTGATTGACTCATCATGCTCAATCAATGACTCTTTCTTGCCCCTTTCTAGAGATTTAGAGGATACTGTGTGAGGCCAGCCTGTTTTGCATCCTGACTGACTTCTCTCCTGGTTCTCTGTATTGTCTCCTCAGCTTAGTTATGAGGCCTTTCCAACAGGATTATGGATTGGACTTAATGCTGCGTGGTGGGCTTTCTGCCTTTGCTCCCCAAGTGGAGTGGGTGTTTCCAGGAATATGTGCTTGTGATTCTTACTCTCATCTTTTTTAGCTTGTGAACATTGGCTCATCCTATAATTATGGGAATGAGGATCAGACAGAATTCCTATGCGTGGTCTCCAAGGAGTTGTACAACTCTCCCAATGGCGTGGGCTCTGAGCCCAGCCACAAAGCCAAGGTGAGATTAACTTTGCTATGGCCCTGCTCCCATTGCCTATGAGATACTTTCCTCTTTGCTCTCTCTTTTCTCTTTGCCTTGCGACAGTGGGGCACCTCAGTGGTGAAATACAGGGGCCTGTCCTGGTGCTCAGGACCGTGGCATTATACCCATTGCCCAAAAGGAGGAGTGTGTGTGTTGGAGGGGTGGTGTGTGGTTCTGTGTGGCAAATGGCTTTAGCAAGTCACCCTGGCACCTCTCATGCTACTCTGACATCCCCCTCATGCCTCCTCATGCCCATTCTGTGTTTATCACTGCCTATAGGGCATTATTTCCCTGAAGGTTTTGCAGCATTCTCTTTCCTTTTTGAGTCTCAGCCTGAGGGGCAGATATCTCCTCCTCCCCTTTTGAGGGAAGGACAGAAACATGTGGCAGTGCATGGCATTCTGTAGACACCCAGGATGCAGGAAGGAACACTAGCAACTGATGGCAGTTGTTGGACAGTGGGGTCACAGCACTTGTAAGTGGGTTAGGTACCCTGGTGTGATACTCTAAAGGAAAACAGCCCTCTCTGTTCCCTGACCTAGAATTGTCTTGGCCATGGGGAAAGGTCCCTTTTTATTCCAGTGTTATGACAATTGCTTTGTTCCGTTGTGTGTCAGAAAGAACTGCCATGGCTCATCTTGCAAGTATTTCCACTCTTTCTTCCTTTTGTCCCACATGCTGGGCCACAGAACACAGAGGAGGACCTGGAGGAGGAAGAGCAGGAGGTGGAGGAGGAGGCAGAGGCAGAAGCAGAAGCAGAGGAGAAAGGTGCAGCAAATCCCTGAGGAAAATGATAAAAATAACCCCCCAGGCATAGACTCGTCCACCTTTCTGGTGAGAGCTCACAGCTAGCAGCAGGGAAGACTAGAACAGGTGTGGGGTGTGGGGGCTGTCCTCTCCAGGAGTTGGAGTCTCTCTGGAGATAAAGCTGACAGGGGAGAGCTGTTACCATGGCTGCTGCTTTGTATTTTTAACTGTTTGGTTTATCTACGGTTTTATTTTTATTTGCAGACCGTCCATCTATTCGGGATTGTGCTAAACTCTCTTCCTGTGGACCCTCCCTCCTGCTCCCTTCCGTGTCCATCCCAGCACTGTCATCTACCTCCCACATTGCCCCACTCGCCAGCCTCCAGCATCCTTCCCTCTGCTCTCTCTGTCTCTCAGGGCTCAGAGTGGTCTCTGCCCAGGGCCCTGTCTCTCTCTGCTCCTCACTTTTCCTCCTCTGCAGGTATGTTACCTGTCTGCACTCCCAGCTCCTGCCAGCCTGAGCTCTGCATGAGTGACTCACTTCCCTCTTGTGGGTATGGCCCTGGTTTGTAGAGCTTGGGGAGGGGAAGGAGGGAGGTGTGAGGTTGACTCATCCCTAAGGTGGCTTTACATATTCTGATCCTAAGCGTGCCTTTACCTGCCAAGCAGATCCTATGCCTGTGGACCAGAGGCTCTGGCAGCAGAAAGGAGAGTGCAGCTGGGAGAGGGGTGGAAATGAATACAAAGCAGGCAGGGGTGGTTCAGGGAAGGGGTGGAATTTTGCCACGTGTCTGCGTGACATGCATGCCAGATCGCTTCTCCAGACTGCCGTCCGCAGCTCCTTTGCCTGCCAGCCCGGGCAGTTTGCAGAAGACAGTCTGTTATTTTTTCCTTCCCTGGGCTTTTCCCCCTTGGCTCTGCCCAGGGTGAGAGTGCAGTAGGAAAGGTGGCAAAGGCAGAGCAGAAGCAGCTGGTCCCCACTGCAGATGTTCTCACAGCTGTGTGCAAAATGAGGCTCTCTGCTCTGCCTCCTGCTTAGGAAGGCTGGCTGGCCGACATGCCTGGGGCTGGGTACGGAAAGCGTTAGAAGGAGGATTCCTCTCCATACTGCAGAACTGTGAGGCTCTTGTTAAACCAGAGATGCTCGGTGTCAATCTCCACTGGTCCTGGTGGAGGGCACTTGTTAGCTGGCTGACATTTCTCTCTCCCTCTGTTTGAAAGCCTCCTTGTCTGTGGCTGTGGGACCCGAGTGTTACTATCTTAAGACTCTGTGTATGTTAATCACATGGACTTTTTCTTCCTTCTGTTTTCCCACCCTCATTTCTTTTCTTTTTCTTCTGTTTGTGTTTCCTCTGTCATTTCCCCTTTTCTGTTTCTCTCCTCCATGCTCAGTTGCCTTTTTTTTTCCCTGTCACTGATTGTGTTTCTCTTTCTCTCTCCTTCTCTAGCTGTTACAAGCCAGAGATCTGAGGATGTGATCTGAACACTCCACTCCAGCCTTTTCAATTTTTGTTTATATCTTTATTTTTGTACTGCAGTGTATGGCAGCCCCTTCTCCCGCAGTGATGCCCCCAGCCCCCTTCACTCTTCACATGCAGCCATTTGTTTTACAAACTCACTTCGGAGGCCTGAGCTTCCAGCCCTGGAGGAGGGCAGATGCTCCATGGAGCCCCTGAGCTGCTGTAGGAGTGGGAGCCCGCAGCCCCCTCCTATGCCTGGCAATCTGGCTTTCCTTAATGTCACAGTGGCCCCTGGTGGGGACATCAGCGATCAGCCACTGCAGCCTGCGGTCCCTTCCTGAGCACCCTGGATGCAAATGCGGGCCGAGGTGGTGGCGGCTGTGGAAAGACCAGCCCTTGCCCTTTCACTGTTGCAGGCAACTGGTGTGGGCTTGTGGCCTGGGGACAAATGCAGAGCTACCGTCCTTTTCTGGGCCGCCTGTATCACTCGGAGGTGTCCCTGTGCTGGGGTATCACGTTCCTTGGTGCCTCCCTCCTTGTCCCCCCCAAAGCAGCTCTGTGCCAGCAGTGTGAGGAGGAGAATGTTGTGCTGCCTGGGTACCAGGAATATGCTGGTACCTGGTGCTGTGTCAGCCAGCACCAAGCAGATCCCAGTTTTGGGGAGCGGGGTGTTTGCTTCGCTGCTGTGTCTGAAGACTCCTGAATAAAATTCACAGTCTGTTCCTCCTTGCCGCCTCTCATTTTAAGTGGCAAGAATTCATTCCTGCTGTAAGGGGGTGGGAGTTGGAGAAAAGGAGTTTGGATTCATCACCTGGAGCCACCAGAAGCTGCTTGTGCTGTGCCTGTCTTCTGGGGGCTGGAGGTACTTCCCACTGTGTCTGTGCTGCTGCAATCCCAGTGCAGGCAGCTGGGCTACAGAGCAGGTTTGCTTATTGGTATCTGCAGCCCTAAATCATAAGTGAGGACCACCTGTCTAGTAAACTTATTGATCCCAGGGACATCTGATGTGGGAGGGTGGGCAAGGGTGTGGAAACTTTTGCCAGTTGCCAGTGCCAGGACTGGAGTTTGGTCAAAAACATACAAACTTGAGATAATTTTTAGCAGAGTGAGGCAAACTAGAGCCAGAAAAATCCTCAAATTAATTTTATTTATAATTCCAGAGAGTGGCCAATTATGTACACACACACACATACACACACATATATCTTTAGTTAAAAAACCAAACCCTCAGCAGTTGCAGTTTAAACCCTCTGCCCTGAAGCCTTCTTCATCTCCTGCATTACCTGAGATAGGAGATGAAAGAGGTTGAGATGCCCTGATGTTAAAGGTATTTAGAAGGGCTGAGGGAAGGGGATGGGAGTCTGCTCCAGCATTTTTTCTGGGGGAAGTGCAGCAGTGGAGGCTGGGTGCTGCTCCAGCAGGGAGGCAGGACACGTGCTTGGGGGTGCAATGCTGGGCTCATGCCTGGGAGTCAGTGAGACGTGAAGAGTTGGCTGGCTGAGCTGAACAGCACACTGAACAGCACACGCCAGCTAAGAAAAGAAGCAATTAGGGAGATGGAAGAGGAGGAGTGATGGGAGGGGAAGGGGGATGAAGGATAAGCAGCAGGAAGGAAGAGGGAGGCAGATTGATTTCACAGTTACTGGAATCTCTAACTACATCAGTCACATTTTCTTTCAGCAAATGTTCCAGCATAAGACTGTGGCTGAATCACATGGTTCATGGAAAGTTCAGCTCCTCTTATTCTTCTTCTCAGAAACCATCAGCTTGGGCCTATTGCTGTGTGTCATGTCATTGCCCCCAACTCCCCCACCTGGCTCCCTTCTCCCCACTTTTGGATGGATGGCCTAAAAGCCCCTTGGGATGCTCCCTGGGAAGCACTAATGGGGAAGACGGTCTGCCTGCTTCTCTCTACAATCCCTGCAGGAGCCTTTTTTTACCCAGTTCAGAAGAGCATCCTGGGTCTGACAACATCCCACACTCTCTTTCTTTGGGAGGCAAGTGAGCAAGATCAGGAATGAGTGCCATGTGAGTGTAGGTGTGATGGGGAGAAGACAGAGATGCACTTTTCTCAGCTCATGGTTTGGTTCATCCAGCCCAGCACTTGAGTGATCCTGGTGTATACTCCATAGTGATTTGCACGTGCACATCCCATTCCCCAGCTGACCAAACCAGCCAGAAACCATCTGCCACTGGGCTCTTTGCAGGCCAGTGGACCTCCAGAATCACCCTAGAAAAAAGAAAAGTAAAATGAAGTGGTGGTGATCCACCAGCTTCTGTTGCTGCCTGATTGCGTTGTCTTTGAGCCCCTCTGTATACAGGTCCCTGTATCCCCTCAACTCGTGCCTGGGACATTCCTTGTACTTTAGGCAGATGTCAAAAACAGTCTCCAGTGCAAACATAGTTATTCCTCCATTATGCAAATTCCTCCCCCTCAGCCAGATCCCCAAAAAGCTGATTGTGCTACTGATTCCTCCAGGTCCATATAGCATTTCCAAATACATGGCAGGCAAGGATAATTGTTGTAATTTAACTGGATTCCATGAGGGATGGCAAAGAGGAATTCCTTGAGATTAATAGTAATGAAGGAACACACAGGTTAGTGTGTATGACAGGTGCTAAAGAGGCTGAGGGTGTAAGAGACTGATGTAGTCACCTGACTTGAAAGTGGGAGGTAGAGTGGAGAATGGGCTGAAATGAGAAAAGGGTAATTTAACTGTATTTGGTTCCTGTCTAAGGGAAAGGTGCTGGGAAGAAGTGGTCATGAGAGCTGTTCTTGGCCACTTAGGTCAGAGGAAGTGTTGGGAAAGTGACCTTATATGGTTTTTCCTCCCTCATTTCAGGCTATGGATTGCATTTGTGAGACTTGGGACACATCCCACCTCTGGTAGTCAACCCTGATCCCACAACTCCTCTGTCACCTGGCAGGCATCCTTCTTGCCCTGGTAGTACCCAGCACACAGCATCCTGGGAGTAATCATGTAGTGATAAGCCTCGCTGCAGATGTTCTGCTGGATGAGCTGCACATCCACCTTCTGCAGAACATTGCTGATATGTCCTGAAAAGTAAAGCACCAAAATTAGCACAGGTGAGCTAGGGTGGAACTTTCCCTAGCCCATGCCTACCTCACTGCATGCTGAAACCTGCCACTGGAATTTCTGTTCTGTTCTCCACTGGCATCACAGTCTCTGACTTTCAGCAGAGCACTTTTTCTGTGTGGAAGGCATAAAATTCCCCTTCACTCCTTTCCCTACAGGGATATTTTGTGGGCACTTCAGCTTTTGGGACAAGGAGTATTCTGCTTTGGGTTAACCTCTGGGTTGTCAGAGTCTTGGGTTGGGTTTGTTTCTCACTGAAATGGATGTTAAGCTCTTCTGTCTAGGAGTACAAACCAGGAGTGTCCAGTTCTGTATAGTCTCCTGAGTGTTTCCAATTTGGAAGCAGCTGGAACAAGTCTGTAAGTGGGTAAAGGCACTAAGCTGACCTGAAGGGCTATTCTAGTCTTTGAATGAAGAAACACACACAGTCCCCATACAGATTACCAGACTGCCATGCCTGCCTCTCCACATGAGGCTTCAGGGCACTCAACAGGTAACTTTGGTCAACCTATTACCCAAAATCAGAAGGAGTGAAGGAGGCACAATGTTTTGGGATGAACAGAAGCCTGTTCTGCCTATGACACATCTGAACCTATGTTTCTGCCTCAGCACTGCTGCAGTAGGCCACCAAGAGACGTTGAACCTACCGCCTTCCTTGAGGGCCCCCCAGCCAGTGATCCAGCAAAGAAGGCCAGGCTCAAAGATGTGAGACGGAGCAGGCAAGCAGATGGGCTGGATTAAGGGCGAGATGATCACAGGATGATCCAGCTGGAGCAGGGCCACATCATAGTCGTGGCTGTCCTCCTCGTAATAAGGGTGGAGAAAGAGATGGATAACCTTGAAGGACACCTCTGTATGGCCGGTGGCATTTTGCAAGTATTTACCCAAGTAAACGGTCCAGATGGAAGGGGAGGCCAGCCTGTAGGATGCAGCAGAGGACCATGGGACCCAAAGGGCACACTTTGCAGGTAATGCTATCCCCATCCTAGCACATGCTGACATCTCCATCGTTGTGACAGTGTGGGGACAACACAGAGCCAAAACAAAGGTGGAACTGTGCAGCATCTTCTGCCATCATTTCCTCCTAGAAGCTGCTCTGTGAATCCCAGCATTGCCCCTTTTCCCCTGCACACCACCAGATAATACTGCATATATCCATATCCCTTTCTTCAGTTCCAAGCCATGGCTGACGTGCCAGAGGAGGAGTGCAGCTGCCCCATGACATTTTCATCAGTCAGAAGAGCCTCCCATCATGCATGACATGGAAAACAATGCAATCTTTCTATCCAGCACCTCCCTTCTCCATTTACCTCTCATCCTGGAAGCAGTGCGCGGCTGAGACCACCCAGCGGTCAGCAATGAGTGTTCCCCCACAAATGTGGCGGCCCCGAACTTGCAGGCTGGCCTGCCATGGCCATTCCCCTTCCACGGAATTCGTACCACCCACAATCCTGTTGAGAGGGGCTTGCATCCCACAGTCTGAGGAGGAGACATAGCAGGTACTTCAGGGAAGGAAGGGAACATAAAATACTGTTCCTGCCCTTCCTTTCCTATTTAGTTGACTGAAGAGTCTGACCTCTAATTGCTTGTCTTACCCGGGCAGCACATGGTTTATGTACTGCCCAGGACAGGTCCAGTGAGCACTCCCTCCCAGCATTCCCCACCTCCAGCTGCAGCCTGGGGATGCCTTTGGGGCAGCATGCTGACTGTGCTAACTGCTGCGCTGTCAGGAAACCCTCCTGGTCATTCCCCTTCACTGCCTACTGAGGCTCCAGAAAAAAACAAGTAGGGAAATCAAAACATTAACTCTCTCCCTGCCAGTGGCCATGCAGACATGGGTGATTTTCCTGGCTGGAGCCTTGTACAATGGCATATAAGCCAACACAGTGGTCAAACAGGCAGCCTGTGTGTTGACCCTGGCCTGTGAGACATGTCTGTCTGCCCTGATGCCTCTGCCTGAAGGAGGCAGGGAGTAGCTGTCCAAAGAGCAAGAGCTTGCTCAACTCAGCACAGAGTTGGCTCATTGCTGCTGTCCCTGCCATTGCAGGGTGGAGCAGGGGCACTGGTACTGTGGGACTGAGGTGGGGAGAAGGTGGTGGAACAAGGGAGTGTGGGTGCCTCTTCTGGGTGGTGGGAGAAAATGGAGCAACTTGCAGCTACGTGTCATCCTGAACCTGCCTGGCTGAAGTGTGGCTGATCATTTCCTCACCACAGTGATTCTCATCAGACAGGTCCTTGCAGTCTGCAGTAGTGTCACACAGGGGGTTGGGTTTCTTCACACAGGTCCCATCTTCACAGCGGTAGGTGAAAGGACCGCAGGGAACCCCTGAAAAAAGGAAGGGAAGCCAAGACTGAGAGAGGCCAGCTGGTTGTAGATGCTGCCTGAAGTCCTTTAAATGAGGAGAAAGGGCAGTAGAGAGCTTGGGGGAACTCCATAAATGATGACAGGGAATTTCCTGAACAAACAAACAGCTCACAAACATTGTGAGGAGGCTGGGCAAACTAAGTCCCAGATGGTGCCCTTATGTCACATGCGGGAAATACTCTACAGACAGCCTTGGTTTGAACACAGGGGTGGGCATTTGTCATCCCAGCACTGTCCCCTCCCTACCTCCACTGCAGTGCTCC